AGCACTCACCCAAAGCATGAGATCAGCGTGGTGTAAATCCGCTCATTCAACTCCACTCCTTCTGCTTCAAACGCCACCGCCACCGCCTTTGCGCCCTCCCAATCCCTCACCTCTAAACCTCGCTTAAACCCTGTCTCATCTGCTCCAGACACAGCAGGAAGCCTCCTATCTGCGGCTCTCCCGCCATTTCTGTTATCCGTTATAAGCTCCCCGCTATGCGATACTGCTCTGCCTCCCACGATCACGCCAAGCAGCAGGTTAAGCGTCCGGTTATCAACGGCTAGGCTATGGCGCCTGACACACTCAATTACCTCTGCTGTTCCCCTCAACCCTCGGGCTCTGATCTCCGCCGCCGCTTTCACCGCCCGCTCTCTCGCACCCTCTCTCCCACGGCCCATCCCCCCACCCATGTTGTTTCTAGCATCAGCAGCAGTGTCGTTTCCCCAGCGTCTGCTGCTGCTGCTGCTGCTGGTCTGGCCTGGGGTGCTCGCCATTAATGGCATTGGAAATGTGTCGACAACCGTACACCCCTCTGTCCATGCACGCTTCCCTACCTCCTCACCACGCCTCTTGACCCATCTAGGCGTTCCCACCTCCTCCGCAGGTCTCTCGGCATCGGACGATCTTGCTACGCTAGCCGGCGTAGCTGCGGAACGCCTTTGCCGACTCTCCCGATCTGCCGTCCTTTGCCGGTCTGGCGACGCTGACGCATTCTCATAAGCTTTTTCGGCAAGAAGCTCCGCCCTAAGCGGATCTGAAGTCGCTGAATTCGGCTCAAATCGATCGCGCGTTTTCAACACCGCATTCCGTCCCTGATTGGCAGGCTTCCTCACCAAACCGTGTGGTTCCTTGTCTTGAACCACGACCAGGGCTTTAACCTTATCGCTTCTGGCTGCATTCACCCACCTGTCCCCAAAGACTCTGCTGTCTCTGCTTTCTCCGCTGTCTATGCTGTCTCTGCTGTCTCTGCTGTCTCTGCTGTCTCTGGTTTCTCTGCTTTCTCTACCCGTCCTGATAATTCCGTCGAATTGCTCATCTGTGGAAGGCCATAGATGCGTGTTTGATGAATCACCGACGGCGATAGGCTCCGTAGCAGGCTCGTCACGCTCACTGCCAGATGCCCTTCTCCTAATGGTCAGTCCCACAGGTTTCGTCGGCTCAGGATCGCGATCGTAGTCGCTCGTTCGCCATTCATTCCTGGTTACCATAACATGATTCGCGGCTGAATGAACTCCTCGCGACGGGTGCATCCCGGAAATGGCCCAGAAAATAGGCTTGGGGCCATGAGGTGTGACGCTGAGTGCCAATGGCATTGTCTTCCCTGATCTAGGCAGCAAAGAGTTGGTCTGCTGCCACTTTATAGATCCGAAAAATATTTGTTTCGTAGCTCATTACCTACTCGTGTACACACCGCACTAATTATGACTACGGTATCTGGAACCATAGGCTGATCAGCACCTAATATAGGCCTCAACTATCACAGGCTGATCAGCACACATTTTGTTGCAGCCGCACAACGAACAGCACACACACTCAACTGATGACTGAATGTCACCAAAGAATTTGTACGCGTAAAGAGCGTCTCGCATTAATTTCAGCCCTTGTATCCTAGATATTGCATCACAGCATTTTGTCATGTGGTTTGATGGTTTGTGGGGAGACCACTTTCGATATCCTCTGATATTTTGCGATACAGAACGTTTCGGATGTTTTCAAAACGTTTTAGAGAGATATAGTACGTTGTTTCATCAGTGATTTCATCCCCCAAGTAAACGGGGAATATCGATTGCACATCGAATATCCTCAAACGGAAGTCCACACATTTTCGGTCGATTTTGATGGGTCACATCAAAATCACCACCATCCACAGTCACCACGTGTGGACAGAACGTCCTCCTTTCTTCCTGCTGCGGTCTGCACGGAAACGAAACTGCAACATCATCCATTCACCTCCAGTCGCAGCTGCGCGCCAAGCAAGCCTCCACTTTTAGCGGGTTTCCAATCGGCGTGATTGATTGTGCCACGATCCACCGTAGCCACTCACGTGGCTCCACATTGGGAGGGATGCTAGCTCTTCCTCGTGTAAACATTCCTCCTCAGCGGATCACAATCCCTTTTTCATGCCATGTCAGCTGACCTGACATCTGCCCGATCCTTCTCCACCTCCTTCCTCCTCCCCTCGGCCCATGTGACCCCCCTCCGAGAACTGCTACTCTCCACTTCCTCCCCACCACTCCTGTTGGAACTCCCTAGGGATGAAGGCGATTGTCGGCTCATTTTCAGCGCTGGACTACCCTTGCTAGGTTGTCATTGACTTATGCTGTTTCGTGCCAAGCATTGCAAACGTCGCCAACCACCATCGTTGATCCATCTGATATATTTTTATTTCATGCTTCCAGTTTTCCAACGGGTTTGTCATTAGACCTCTTAGCTATGGCCGCCTTCTCAGCGAGCTCCGTAGTCTTGAAGGATTGCGCTTGTTATGGACCACTAAAGAGTGAAGAGCAGGTAGTTCAGAAAGGACGAACCGTGCGCTCGTCAATGTCCTCGATGTTTGGAAATAGTCAATGTTTAAAGCTCTCTACTAAAGTCTGTTGCAATCGCGAAGTCCGACGACCGAAGGCCTGGCGCATGGAAGTGGCCGATCCGCTTGAGAATTTTCGCGATTCTTTTGGAAATGACTGTGTTGTGGAGAGGAGGGCTAGGAAGGTGCGTCTTGGCTGTTCTTGGCTCGTTCTATGTCGTGTTTTTATACCCTTCGTATTCGTAGCGGGCCTCACCCACTTTCCATTGATTTTGCAGGAATTAGAAATGAGCGAGTCATACGTGGTCGTGTCGTCTGAGGTGAAAGAGCTGCAAGACCGGATGGCAGCTCTGGTGGCAGCAGAACATTACGAGGAAGCATGCGTGGTAGGCTGCATTCGAGATTATGCTTTTGTAGCACCGGAGTTTCCAAATTAGTCATTTACGCTGTTTGTCTCTTGCAGGTCCGCGACAGCCTAGCCATGATGGAGTTTCGGAAGCGTTTGTTAGAGATTCAGGCCAAACCGCGCATCATGTACCGTGTGGGAGATGTCATCGTGCACCGCAGATACGGTGAGCGTTTGTAACAATTTTCATCTCATTATCACTCTTCATCACGGCCAGTCCAATAGATCATCCCTGCTCACCCCCTTCCGTGTACAGGCTATCGCGGCGTTGTGTACGGTCACGATCCTGAGTGCTCAGCCCCTTCCAGCTGGCAAGATGCGATGAAAGTGGACCTATTGACACATGGGAGAAGCCAGCCATTCTACCACGTCTTGGTAGACACTCGAGATAGAGCAGGAGGTGTCTCCACTTACGTCGCACAGGAAAATCTCGTAGCCCAGAGTGATGCTTCACCAGTCGTTCACCCCTGGATTCCCAAGGTGAGTTAGGTTCTGGTTCTGTTCTCTCCGTTACGCATCCACGAAAGGGGAGCCTGATTGTGGATCTTTTGTGTGCTCGTGCAGTTTTTCGTGGGTTTCCAAGATGGCACGTATGTCCCTGGAAAGAAGCTCCGGCAAGTGTATCCCAATGATTGGTAGAGGCCAATTACTGCTCTCCAACCGTTTTTTACCTGTAATCCAAGGAGTGGTTATTCCTGGTAGGTAGTATTTAACCATGCACGAAAAGGCCGAAACAGTAGCAGCAGTGCCTGCTTGGAAGCTCAGCTGGGCTGTGAACTGCTTTGCCCATCCGAGCATCGAGATTATAGCTGTTTGTGTGCAATGTTTTTGTTTGAAGTACTCAATGGTTTTCCACGCTGCAGATAAATGCAGTGGCTGAATTATCTTGCTGGATCATAATAAGGTATGACGTAAAGTAGACAACTGGTATATACGTGTAATGTAACATCTAAAGTAGAGAATAGTAGTGTCTGGGTCAACTTGGTCATCCTGCTTGTACGGTGTTTGCATACTGCCTGCTCAGTGTGTACACGCTGTTCCTCCACCATGGAGTGATAGGACATCTACAGCACAGCATCTTGGGGGCTCCTGCATTTTCATTGGATGTGCCACGAAAGCAAGTCATGTCTTGTCCCACGTGGAGCCAGCTCAGCCCGCCTCGAGCTTGCGGGACTTTCTCCTGGCCTTTCTTGTGCCTCTGTTGCGTCCAGCGCAGTGACACCCAGCTTTTCCGGCTATGCGCTGGACTTACCACAGCCCACCCAGCAACCGCCAAGCATTTCGGTAAAGCTGCCCCAGCAGGGTGATCTCAAATTTTGACCATTTGCCAGTTTCTAGAGTCACCAATCTGTACGGTATGCAACATAGCGTCACGTGGTTCGCCAAGTTCTGAATCCCATTCTACACGCGCTGATTTTTCTTCGAGCAACTTCGTCCCCCAATCTAGATTTTTTCGCGACGCGTGGTCTGTGGGTAGGACATTCCCCAGAATTCACGTCGCCAAGCTGTTTTCGGAATATGTTCCTGTTTCTCACACGATTTCCTCCCATTTCGTCCGAGCCGAACAGTTCCCTCTTGTCAAGCTCTCCCTTGCGCTGCAAGCGGGATCTGCGTTGTACGTACATCCATTGCTCCACGCAGCAATAACTAACACCCAACGTCAATTTCAGCGCGGACCCATTCGCTTCCCGCTTCTTACTCCAGCACTTTGGAGCATCCGTACCGCAGCATCTTGAAAGACAGATGTCATTTTCCGTTTGTTTACATAGATTTCGTCAAGCTTAGGTCCCGTCACGTGGCTGGTCCAACCATTCGCGAGAGTCCCTTCAGACACCCGTATCCCGTCATGACATTACGGAAGTAGGCAGAGACTAACAGAGGCTACGCATTTTTCAAGGGACGAAGATAGCAAGCAGAGGTTAGGCTAGACGGAGGAGACGTAACGTCACCACGACGTTACATTCAGCTCACTGGGCGAAGCTACGGCATTGTAATACGTAGCGTAGCTAGCAGCTAGCAGCGAATCTGAGCCGTAGATTCAGTCACCCCGCGACTCCGTGGATGGTTCAAATGGTCTCGCACGAAGGCACGAGCGGCACCAGCGGAGCCAACAGCTCCACCGTGAACGTATTCGTCACCGGCCAGCCAGGTACTTCGATATAATCACACCCGATACCGTAGTGCCATCACATACGCCAGGGACCTCTTTGTAAGCACGCCGACTACTGTCCTGTGCTGCACCGCCCACTATTTCACATGGAACAGCTAGACTAACCAGCATAGCGATCGCGTGTCGCTACCAGATGCGTCTAAAACAACAGACTATATCAGTGTAACACCTCAAGCTGCTGCTCGTCATGCCGCATCCTGCTGCGCAACCATCGGTTGAAACGAACCGTAAGCAGCACAGGGGGACTACTCAAGCTTGACCCATCCGAAGCATCTGAAAACGCGTCTTGGTTTGCTTCCCATGCGATTCCACTCGTGTCCTCCTCTCACCTCTTCACCGTCCCGTGCATGTTCCTCAACCGCCAGTGTTATGCTTCCCCTTCCCCCGCCTCCCGCCTCCCGTTTCCCCCGTTTTGGCGCTGCGCGTGTGCATGACATGCGTGGGCGCGTGGGCATGACATGCGTGGCGCGCGCATGACACGCGTGGGCTCGTACACGGCATGCGTGGGCGCGTGTGCTCCAGGCATCGGGAAAACTTCGTGAGTGCACAGACACCCCTTCTCCTCTTATCTCATCTATGCATCATCGTGCCCTCAATGCCCGGTAGATGAACTGAATCTCTGTAGCGGTTACCGTTTGTCAGTTCTGCTGTCTTCCCGTTGGTGCTCGCACACGCCTGATGTCTTGGCGGTGACAGGCTTTTTTGAGTGGTTACGTTATTGCGAATACACTGGAAGATTTGTTTTTTTCCTGTGGGATCGTATTGCGTGTACACTACAGGTTGGTGCTGAAGGTGGCGAAGCGCTTACCGCAGCATCTAGTAGCGGGGTTCTACACCGTTGAGGCCAAGGCGGAGGGCACGGGGGAACGACTCGGGCTGGATGTCAGTGAGTGTGGGAGGGGCGGGGGGAGGGGAGGGGAGAGGGATGGAGGAGGAGGTGAGTGAGAGGGGAGGAAAGAGGTGAGTGGGGGGAGAGTAAGGAGGAAAGTGAGGGCGGAATAAGGGGACGAGAAGGTGAGGGAGAGGAGAGGGCTGGTAGGCAGCTTGAGCTGGAGGAAAGCGGTCCAAGGCTCCGTGCTGTACCCCATCCTTACCATACATCCATCTTTTCTCCTCCCCCCCCTTCCCCTCCCCCTTCCCCTCCCCCTTCCCCTCCCCCTTCCCCTCCCCCTTCCCCTCCCCCTTCCCCTTCCCCTCTCCCGATCTTGTTTTCAAATCAAACTCCGTCCATTCATATGTTGTCGTTTCTGCTCTCCCCCCTCCGTTTTCCCCTTTCTCCCGCCTCCCCCTCCTCCGGTTACAGTCACTTTCGCGGGCGAGCGCGCGCCTCTATGCAGATTACGAAGAGGCTGCGGACCCAAGGTGGGAAGGGGGGGCTGGGGGATGGCAATGTGAGGTGGGGAAGAGGGAGGGGGATGGAAAGGCATGGCGGCGAGCGCGCGCCTCTATGCAGATTACGAAGATGCGGACCCAAGGTGGTGGGGAGGGCAATGTGAGGTGGGGAAGAGGGAGGAGGGGGGAGAGGAAATGGAAGGTGAGATAAAGGGGGGTAAGTGGATAGAAGGGGATGGAAAGGCATGGCGGCGAGCGCGCGCCTCTATGCAGATTACAGAGAGGCTGCGGACCCAAGGTGGGGGGAATGGAGGATGGGAAGGGGGGAAACAAAGGGGGAGGTGGGGGAACCGGGAGTGGGGGACGGGGAAAAAGGGGAACGGAGGGGGAGACGGGATGGGAAACCAAGGCAGATTAAGGAGAGAGTGTGGTTTTATCCACGGGTGGGGGAATGGAGCTTTGGGTTGTAAAGGGGGAGATCAGCATGTCAGACATGGCAATAGATGAGCTCAACACGTCTCACTGCTCTCTCTCTCACTCTGCCTCTCCAACTTCTCCCCCTCCTCAGATCGGCAAGTACTATGTGGCAATAGACGAGTTCGAGCGGGTAGTGTTGCCGAATTTTCAGTATGTCGCATGCTGTCTCTTTCACTTTCTACCTCTCGCCCTCCCTCCCTCACTTCCTCAGATCGGCAAGTACTACGTGGCAATAGACGAGTTCGAGCGGGTAGTGTTGCCGCACCTCATGCCGTCAGATACAACGCGCCTGCACATCGTGGACGAGGTGAGGTGGCAGGGATGGGTTCATGGGTCCACCATTTCACACCTTATGCCGTCAGATACAACGTGCCAGCACATCGTGGACGAGGTGAGGTGGCAGGGATGGGTTCATGGGTCCACCATTTCACACCTTATGCCGTCAGATACAACGCGCCTGCACATCGTGGACGAGGTAGGCTGGTGCTTGTAGCTCCATGAATCATCCATGCCATGCCGCACCTCATCCCGCACCTCATGCCGCACCCCATGCCGCACCTCATGCCATCAGACGCCACACGTCAGACAGGCTGGTTTCCTCGCCCTTGTACCTCCCCCTTCCCTCTCCATCTCCCTCCAACCTCTTTCCCCCTCTCTCTCTCCCCATCCAGATCGGGCGCATGGAGCTCTGCAGTGACAAGTTCAGAGACGCTGTGCTCAGCCTGCTGTCCTCCGCCCTCTCTCCCTCCCCTTCTGCCTCCCTCTCCCTCTTCCCCCTCCCTACATTCCCCTCCTCTCTCCCCATCCAGATCGGGCGCATGGAGCTCTGCAGTGACAAGTTCAGAGACGCTGTGCTCAACCTGCTCACCTCCCCGTGTGTCCCTCTTACCCCCTTTTCTGCCTCCCTTGCCACTCCCCTCTCACCAGATCGGGCGCATGGAGCTCTGCAGTGACAAGTTCAGAGACGCTGTACTCAACCTGCTCGCCTCTCCCGTTGCTGTAAGCTCTTTCATTCTCACCCTAGTCCCTGCTGCACAGCCTTTAGGATTTCCATCCGATTCCATCGGTTCTAATCTTCTTCAATACACTCTTTCCTCCTTTGCATTCGTCACTCGTTCACACTTCTCACTGCTCTCTTGCTCGCGTTGGTGTGTGTCTGCAGGTGTTTGGCGCCCTGCCCGCCCCTCGTTATGGTCACACATTGGAGCTAGTAGAGGAAATCAAGCAGCGCGCCGACACAGGTAATCAAAAATCGTGTGCCAAAAATTTGTTGCACAGGATTCTGTGTTGGAAATCCGGCAGAACTGAATTGGCCGAGTTAAGCAACACATTTGTGCCCAGTTCTTGGTGTGTCTCAAAACTTCATTTCATCCTTTTTTTTGTCTAATTTTAGGACGAATTTCCCACGTTTCCTCTTGTGAGACTAGTGAACTCCTCTCTTTTCTGGAACGTTGCATGTATCCCACCCTCTCTTCCAGGTCGTTATGACTACCCTCTCGTGCCTTCTTAACGCTCCCTTGCCCCAAACATTCTGAAAACTTTCTCCTCTCGTCTTACTCTCCACACCCTATCCGCCTTATCTTCTCTCCCCCCTTCCCATCAGCCGTGCTCACACTCACCAAGGCCAACCGGGACGCCACAGCAGTGTGCAGATAGGGGAGCTTCTGCTCACTTATCCCTCTCCCCCCTTATTCTTCCCTTCCCCCTTTCCCCCTCACCCTGACCAAGGCCAGCAGGGACGCCACAGCAGTGCAGATAGAAGAGCTTCTCACTCGCCCCTATCCAGGAAGGGGAGAAGCAGCGACGGGGGGAGCGACCATGCGCTCATGCCTCATGCCATTCCTCCTTATCCTCCCTTATCCCCCTCACTCATCCCCCCCCTTTCAGCCGTGCTCACACTCATCAAGGCCAACACGGACGCCACAGCAGTGCAGATAGAAGAGCTTCTCACACGGCTCATCCAGGAGGGGGAGAAAGGGGCGGGAGGGGAGCCGCTATGCCCTCATGCCTCATGCCCTCCCTCCATATCCTTCCTTTTCCCCCTACCTTATCTCCCCCCATTCAGCCGTTCTCACGCTCACCGGGGCCAACCGGGGCGCCACAGCAGTGCAGACAGAAGAGCTTCTCACATGGCTCATCCAGGAGGGGGGGAAAGGAGCGGGAAGGGGGGGCGACCATGCCCTTATGCCTCATGCCATTGATCCTTATCCTCCCTTTTCCCCCTCCCCATTCAGCCGTGCTCACACTCACCAAGGCCAACCGGGACCCCACAGCAGTGCAGACAGAAGAGCTTCTCACACGGCTCATCCAGGAGGGGGGGAAAGTGGCGGGAAGGGGGGGCGACCATGCGCTCATGCCTCATGCCATTGATCCTTATCCTCCCTTTTCCCCCCTCTCTTATCCCCCCCCATTCAGCCGTGCTCACGCTCACGAAAGCAAATAGGGACGCCACAGCAGTGCAGATAGAGGAGCTGCTCACACGGCTCATCCAGGAGGGGGAAAAGGGGGCGGGGGGGGCGCTAGGGGAAGAGGGGGAGGGGGACGGGGGAGTGGGGGGAGTGGGTGGGTTGGGGGGAGATGGTGGGGGGAATGAGGGCGAGGGGGAGAGCAACATAGGAGTGGGTGGTGGGGGTCTAGGGTACGGAGGGGTGAGGGGAGCAGGAACTGGTGCAGCGAATGCCGTTCCGGCAGCGGCAGCAGGTTTGGAGACCGGAGCGGCAGGTCCGGCGTTGATAAGCGGAGGTTCGGGAGCGGGGATGAATCATGTGCTAGCTGCAGTGCAAGCCCATGTGGCCAATGCGGACCTCTTTGATGGGTCTCATACTGTTCATGGGTAGAAAGAAATGTTTTCCTACTATTCAGGGGAGGTAAGATTGAAACAGGGAAAGGTTTTTTTTTTTTTTTTTTTTTTTTTTTTTTTCGGGGTTCGAACTTAAAGCTAGCAGCTAAAATAGTGACCCCCCCCCTTCTAGTGGATCCACTTTTTAATCTAGAACTAACTTTTTAATGCTTTTGACGGTTGAAGCGTTGTTCTGTTTTGTTTTTCAGACGCGTTCAAGTCTTCAGTGATTTTCACAAAAAATGTCGCAAGCATGTACAAATGCGACGTGCGATTCCCGATTACACGAGGGGGCCAATTTCAACAGGTTTTGCATGTGCAATTCACGCACAACAAACGCCTCAGACATGGACCTGCTGAAGCGGCACAAACAGCGTAGGAAAAGCAGAAATGCATAAAAAACAGAGAAGTTTTATGTTAGGAATAAAAAAACGAAGAACGAGAAGGAAACGACAACGCACGTAGAGAGCTGATTGAGCGAAAATTGTGGAATGGTAGGGTGTGGGGAGATGGGAGGGGAGAAAGGAAGGGTGACTTGCAGGCATTTCGGGGCGAGCGCGAAGGTGCCAAGATGGGTGATGGGAGGGGAGAAACGAAGGGCGACGGGCAGGCATTTCGGGGCGAGCGCCAGGGCGCCGAGGTGGGTGACGGGAGGGGAGAGAGGAAGGGCGATGACTGTTTCGAGGGAGAGAGGATAGGCGACGGGAGAGATAAAGGGCGACGGGAGAGAGGATAGGCGACGGGAGAAAGGAAGGGCGACGGGAGAGAGGATCGGCGACGGGAGAGCTTAAGGGCGACGGGAGGGAGGGCAACGGGAAAGAGAAAGGGCGACGTGACAGAGAAAGGGCGACGGGAGAGAGCAAGGGCGACGGGAGAGAGAAAGGGCGACGTGACAGAGAAAGGGCGACGGGAGAGAGAAAGGGCGACGGGGGAGAGAAAGGGCGACAAGGGAGAGAAAGGGCGACGGGGGAGAGGATAGGCGAGGGGAGATAGGAAGGGCGGAGGGAGGGGCGACGGGATGGGCGACGGGAAGGGCGACGGGATCGACGACGGGATGGGCGACGGGATGGGCGACGAGATGGGCGATGGTATGGGCGACGGGATGGACGATGGGATGGGCGATGAGAAGGCAGCGGGACGAGCCACGGAAGTGCGGCGACAATCGCGTGGGTAAGGGAGGCGAGAGGAGATCGCGTGGGCGACGGGACGGAAAAACGAGGGCGCAAAGGGACAGACTGAAAAGCTTAAACTCATAGCTTTCGGATACAACACGACGGACATTCTGATTAATACATGTGTAGATAACGAGGGCCTAAGTTGAGACATAGCCTATGCCTAGCCTAGCTACTTAGAACTTCCGACGCAAAATTGGTAGTAGTTCACCCCATCCCAAGTTGAAACATCAGTTGGGCCCAAATCGCTTGGACAGACTGAAACGATCGCCTGTGCAATTGTCAGAGAAAGGGCTTAGCAATGAGAAGTGCGACGTCACACATTAGGAAAATGTCTCAATTTTGGCTGGAACCAATCAAAGGTGTTCGATTTGCACGTCCGCAGCGTTTGAAACGGTACAAACTTCTCAGTCCGTCTAAACTTTGTTTCGCCCGGCAAACTCGTCCCTGCGCCCTTTCAAGTTGGGTTTGGGTTCACTATTTTGCATCTCGGTTTTAACGTGTTGGGCGTATGCCACTTCTCGGGTTTACCGGCACCGTAGATTAGTCACGTACTATGCTTGGGGTCCGGTATATGGTCCATCTTTCGGACCTTGTGTAACACGTATGGCACGATTAGTGCCAATATACGCTACATTGCTGATATCTTACGCACTGTTAAAGCTTAGCCAGCTCACGGAAACAAGTTTGACTGATTTAATGGCTGGCAGAAATATGTACCACATTTTTCACACATATCAAGTCTGCATGCTGCAGCTGCAGGTGTTACTTCACACGGCAGCAGAACCAGGCACAGAAATGACGTTGGGTTGAAAACTTTTCAGCAGCACCACCAGCAGCAGGTGCAGAAACGGCCGCCTCGCCAAGCCAAAGCTGGAGTGTCAGGGCAGCGTTCATGAGAGAATATTTCTGAGGTGGTTGACCACGTGATACGCGGTTGAGAGGCTTGCAGAGCAATTCAGAGCCTTATAGAGGAGGACCATACTGCAATGGGCAAGGGGAGAAACACAAAGGAGTCGGCACACATTTCGCATGTTTGTTCAGTACTCATCACCTTCCTCAAAAGCAACTGTTACACACTTCATAATCTTTACCTGTAGCAAGAGCGCATGCCCCAGTGTACCAACCGCTGCTGTGACCTGCTGGCTCAGCTCGCCTCGCTTGCAACCTTCTAGTGGATTCGAAGGCAACTCTTACAGGGAACATGATCAACACACCTGTAGCAGTATGGAATGCCCCGGTGTGCCGACACCTCTGCAGAGCAGCACAAAAGACTACCTTTTTTCCAAAACTAGGTAGCACCAGCCATGACAAACATTCCAGCTTGGAAGGGCTACCCGTAGCAGTATGGCATGCCCTGCACAGACCGCTGCTGGAATGTGCAGCGGAAGGGCTACCTGTAGCAGTATGGCATGCCCCGGTGCTGGAATGTTTGGAGACCGCACAGACCGCTGCTGTGACCTGCTGGCTCAGCTCGCCTTGTTTGCAATGCAACCTTCTAGTGGATCGAAAGAAACTCCCACAGATAGCATAGAACATGATCTTTACCTGTAGCAGTATGGCATGCCCTGGTGCACCAACCACTGCTGTGACCTGCTGGCTCAGCTCCCCTCGCTTGCGATTCAGATACGCCGCGTTCTGACTCTCTGCCATCGCCTCGTCTGTTGACCTGTACAAGACTGGGAAGGGAGAGTTGCGGGGGAAGAAGAGGGGGATGAAGAAACAGAGAGGGCTTGTGCGTCATCTTGGCTTGCCTCGCTTGCGAGCCAGATAGACCACATTCTGACTCTCTGCCGTTGCCTCGTCTGTCAACCTGTACAAGACTGGGAAGGGAGTGAGGAGGGGAGGGGAGCGGGAGCAAGTAGAAGATGGGTGTAATCCAAAGCTCGCCTTGCGTGCAAGCCAGATACGCCGTGTTCTGACTCTCTGCCATTGCCTCGTCTGTTGAACTGTACAAGACTGGAGCACGGGGAGAAATCGGGGAAAGAGAGGGGGAAGTCGTCCCTTTACACTCACGTGATAGCTCCGACGCCACAGCCACCACGCGCTGTGAATCCCTTGCCTCTTGGAAGGAAGTGGAGCACAGGGCACGTGCGGAAGAAGAGGGGGAAGCCATTGAGGTGTATTTTGAGGCGCCTCAAAACACCTCTTTACACTCACGCGATAGCTCCGAAGCCACAGCCACCACACCCTGGGTGTCCCTCGCTGCCCAGAAGAGAATCAGTCCAGATCTCAAGATGTCCTTTGCTCCAATAAAGTCTTTGTATCCCTTACCCTCCCCTTCCCCCCCTCTTTTTACGCTTACATGATAGCTCTGACGCAACAGCCACCACGCCCTTAGAGAATTATTTCAGATCTCAGGATGTCCGTTGCTCCAACCAGGTCGCTGGTTGCCGTGGTAGTGCTATGTGTTTTTGATTTCGAGACATTTTTGCATTAGTATTTATTTGAGTAGTAAAATAACTCACGTGACAACTCTGCTGCAACAGCCACCACGCCCTGGGTATCTCTTGCCGCCCGGAATAGAGTCAACCCAGATCTCAGAATGTCCTTTGCTCCAACAAGGTCGCTGGTGCGCAGTGCAATGCCGCCTATGGCCAGCAGGAAATGGGCGGCGATCTGGTGGTTGCTGAGCTGGCGGTGAGTCACCAACAGCCCTTGGGCGAGTCGGCTCCTGCCACGTGGAAGGACAGGGAGAACGGGAATTGAACAGTGTATGACGCTTGCCTAAGTGAGTTGTCTCAGACAAGTTAATTTCAAGAAATCAGTGAGCCCAGATTACCAGACCCACCTTGCACCGCCACAAACCCACCTTGCACCGCCACAAACCCACCTTGCACCGCCACAAACCCACCTTGCACCGCCACAAACCCACCTTGCACCGCCACAAACCCACCTTACCCCATCAACACACATGGCACCACGTTGAGACTCACCTAGCATCCACCAGGTTTCCCTGTCTAAGCGCCAGCAGAGCTGTTGCGAGCAGCTGCGCGCACTGCTCCCTCTTCCTTTCCTCCCCTGTTGCAACCCCTGCTGCTGACGGTGATGCTGCTGATGGTGAAGGCAATGCTCCCGCTTGTTGCTGCTGCTGCTGTCGCGTTTGGGCGTGCTGTGCTTCTTCCTGCTCCAGAGCTGATAGAATGTCCACTGCCTGAAGAAACGCGGAGGGACAAGAATAGTAGGAGGCAGCACCGATAATGGCTAAAGAAAGAAGGGTGGACTCTAAAGGCGTGGTGTGCTTCTTGCTGCTGCGGCTGCCGCGTTTGGGCGCCCTGTGCTTCTTCTTGCTCCAGAGCCGATGGCATGTCCACTGCCTGGATGAAGGGTGATGGATGAACAAAGAAGAGGCGGCAAAAGAGATGATGGAGTAGCCAAGAGCATTTTTTCCTCTTTTTTTTTGCTTTTTGTTTTGTTTTTTGTTTTTTTTTTTTTGTTTAGAAAGAGCTTATACGCATGGCGTTTCATCCGGCAGAAGATTTCCTGAACCTTGCAACAATAACAGCAGTTTCGCGCCCACAAGACTCAACAGTCTCAGAAGACTCGCCTGGGATATGTGCCCGTGTGAGGGGTCGTCGATGGTGAGATGCACGATGGCAGAGAGGCAGAGAGCAAGGCAGCGGATGGGCCGATGGTGGAGATGGTGGAAGGAGGAGGACCCGGCCTGGAAGGGAGTGCATGGGGGGAAGGGAGTAGGGTGGGGCAATAAACGGGAGGGTAAGGGGAAAGGAAGTGGTTGCAGGCAGAGAGCCAGGCAGTGGATGGGGCGGTGGTGGAGGTGGTGCGGGAGGAGGACGCTGCCTGAGGGGTTGTGTGGATGGGAGAGATACAGAATGGGAAGAGGCGAAAAGGAATGGTTGTGAGGTGAACAGGCAGAGGGCCAGGCAGCGGATGGGGCGATGGTGGATATGGTGGGGGGAGGAGGATGCACCCTGGAAGCGTGTGGGTGCGTGGGAGACAGATAGAATGAGTGGTTGTGAGCGGTTTTGGCAGTGGCTGGCGAGGTAGAGAGGAAGGCAGCAGATGGGGCGATGGTGGAGATGGTGGGGGGAGGGAGGAGGATGTAGTCTGCGAGTGTGTGTGTGCGGGGGTTGCAAGGTTAACAAAAACGGGAGTGGATATTTGTGGAGGTGAATGGCACATTGGTGAAAATGGCGAGGCGTGGCAAGAGACCAAGAAAGACTTTAGAGACGTCTCAAAAGAGACCAAGAAAGCAAGAACACAAGAAAGCAAGAAAGCAAGAACACAAGAAAGCAAGAAAGCAAGAACACAAGAAAGCAAGAAAGCAAGAAAGCAAGAACACAAGAAAGCAAGAAAGCAAGAACACAAGAAAGCAAGAAAGCAAGAAAGCAAGAAAGCAAGAACACAAGAAAGCAAGAAAGCAAGAACACAAGAAAGCAAGAACACAAGAAAGCAAGAAAGCAAGAACACAAGAAAGCAAGAACACAAGAAAGCAAGAAAGCAAGAACACAAGAAAGCAAGAAAGCAAGAACACAAGAAAGCAAGAAAGCAAGAACACAAGAAAGCAAGAAAGCAAGAACACAAGAAAGCAAGAAAGCAAGAACACAAGAAAGCAAGAAAGCAAGAGAGATCAAAAGAGCTAGCAGGCAAGGCAGTCACGAACCTTGGCAGCAGCGGTGCTGAAGTGGCGGATTGCGATTGGAAGGTCGATTGTGGCATGGGCGTACTGCCCGAGCAAGAGGTGGAGGTTCGGACCAAACGAGGCCAGCAGGGTCGGGAAGCGACTTGACCAATCACAAATCTCCAACAGAACCTGGTAGGTTGGTTGGAATGATTGGGGGGGATGGAGAAAAAACCAGCTAGACTTACCCATTAAGAGAGAGGGTATTCTGTAAATGTCAACGCCAGCACCACTTGGGCTTCTAAGACGTAGAGCAGGAGGGTGCCTGCCCACGCACATCCCCCTTATAACCCCTTTCCAACCCCCACGCACCTGTATTTCTCTGCTTACCCGTTGCGAGAGAGTTTACTCAGTAGAAGTCAGCGCCAGCACCGCGTGGGCCTCCAAAATGTAGAGCAGCAAGAGGAGGAGCGCCACTGTAACCAGTTCCTCCCTTCCCTTCCCCGTACATGCAACCTCGAATTCGCTTGCTTACCCGTTGCAAGAGAGAATACTCATTAGAAGTCAGCGCGAGCACCGCTTGGGCCTCCAAGACGTAGAGCAGCAAGAGGAGGAGCATGCCGGCCCACGCCACACTCCACCATCACTCTACCCCCTCCCACACACATATGCCTGCATGCGCAGCTTACCCATTGAGAGAGAGGATACTCTGTAGATGTCAGCGCCACCAGCACCGCCTGGGCTTCCAAGACGTAGAGGAGCAAGAGGAGAGGAGCGTGCCTGCCCAAGCCCCCTCGCCCCCCTTCCCATCGCCCCGTTCAGACACCACACACCCCTGTGTCTGTTTGCTTACCCGTTGCGAGAGGGGGTATTCTGTAGATGTCAGCGCCAGCACTGCTTGGGCTTCCAAGACGTAGAGAAGCAAGAGCAAGAGCGTGCCTGCCCACACCACACTCCAAGGCTCCAGAGTGGACTCTGTGATGGGAGTGAGAGAGTGGAAGGGGAGCAAGGCAAGGGAGAGACACGTGGAATAAACTGACTGATGAGGCAGCTCACACTGCGTAGAGGAGCAAGAGGAGTGTGCCGGCCCACGCCACACTCCACGGCTCCAGAGTAGACTCTGCAATGAGAATCACGGGTGTTGACACATGAAGTAGGGAGTCAGAGGACTGTATTCGTGGTTCCATTGCAGAGTCTCCACGCTAGGAGCCATTGAGAGGATTTTTTGAGAATTCTCGAGCGTGTTTTTTGAGAATTCTCAAAACGTGTTTTTTGAGAATTCTCAAAGAATTCTCAGAGAATTCTCAAAAAACACGGGTGTTGACACATGAAGTAGGGAGTCGGAGCACTGCATTCGTGGTTTTTGAGTCGACTCAAGAGCACTGTATTCGTGGTTTTTGAGTCGACTCAAGAGCACTGTATTCGTGGTTTTTGAGTCGACTCAAGAGCACTGTATTCGTGGTTTTTGAGTCGACTCAAGAGCACTGTATTCGTGGTTTTTGAGTCGACTCAAGAGCACTGTATTCGTGGTTTTTGAGTCGACTAAAGAGCACTGTATTCGTGGTTTTTGAGTCGACTCAAGAGCACTGTATTCGTGGTTTTTGAGTCGACTCAAGAGCACTGTATTCGTGGTTTTTGAGTCGACTCAAGAGCACTGTATTCGTGGTTTTTGAGTCGACTCAAGAGCACTGTATTCTTGGTTTTTGAGTCGACTCAACAGCACTGTATTCGTGGTTTTTGAGTCGACTCAAGAATCACGGGTGTTGACACATGAAGTAGGGAGTCAGAGGACTGTATTCGTGGTTCCATTGCAGAGTCTCCACGCTAGGAGCCATTGAGAGGAGCACTGCTATTCGTGGGCTGGATAGGCATGCCCTTACTAGGTGAGGAAGCATGTCCAAACTTACCTGTTGAACCACTTCAGAGAAACATCAAACGTGCCTCTTCGTATGGCTCAAGGGAAGCAAGAGTGTGAGTGTACCCGTTCAGTCACTTGTGAAGATTCTCAAAAGTGACTCTTGATATTTCTCAGAAACGACGCAAGGGCGTGAGTGAGGGAGGGTACCTGTAGAGCCTGGGAGGACCCCGATGCGGTGAAGCTCATCTGAAAGGGTGAAGATTTCGAGAATGGTGAGAATGACAGGGGGGTGGGAACGAGCATGCGAGCAGGTGCAGGGGAGAAAGAGTTTTGGGACAAAAGAGAGGAATGAGAGGACTGGAAACTTGCAGCAGGAGGAGGAAACAGGAAGACGAAGATGGGAAGGACGCGATACTGTATGGGAAATGAAGAAAAGGAGGGATGGGAGGGGTGGTTGGCGAGACAACACTGGAAGGATCGGCAGCAACCATGCGCAGAATTCTATGTCATAACCCATGTCACACCCCACTGGGCGCATTGCATTGCCCCTCAACCCCAGTGGGGTTAGTACTAAGAATAAGTGCGTCACACATCAACAGCCACATCGCTACTCTCTCACACACCCCCCACCCACCTCGCAGCATCTCCCTCTCTTCCTTCAACGCCCCCTCAGCTTCCAGGAGCTTTCCTCCCGGGCGGCTCAGCATGACCTTTAGCAGGCCTGCCACCGCCCTGACAGCTGGCAGCGGCAGCCAATCAGCATTGAGCACGTGGGGCGGGCCCAGTGGTAACCGCATCAACGGATCATCCCTGAAACATGCGCCTGACGCTTCTCCTCCTTCCCCTGCGACCATTGCCCCTGCTCCGTTGCCCATCACCCCTCCTGCTGCCCCTGCTGCTCCTGCTGCACCCACTGCTCTTACTGCTCCTGTATCCTGCCCCAGCCTCTGTGCATGCACATTCCCCCCCTGCTGCAGCTGACGTGGCGCTGACGCAGCAACTGGCGAGCTGCCAGCTGGCGCCTCACGATTCGCTGCAGGGGGACTCATCCCCGCCAGTGCCTCCTCTGCTGCTGCCACGTCAGCCTTGGCCTGGTTGTAGTCAGCCATGCGGAGGTGCCACGTGGCAGCCAGTAATTGGACGTAGACGAACAGGCCACGGTAGTCTGGCTGCTGACGTGGCGGGATCTGCTGCCACAACGAGGTGCATTCTGAAAGAAGGGTTGAGATCTGCTGTGGCGTGTGATGGACGGTCGAGATGCGAATGTGCAGCAGGGAAGCGGATAGCAGGAGCTGGTGGTGAAATGTATCAAGGGGCGGAAGGGATAGGAAGGGAAGGGAGGGAGGGAGGGAAGCGAGGAGAGGAGTGGCATATCAGCTAGCTGAAGCTCTCGCATGGAATAGCATCGCCTAGTCTCGCATGCTCTTCACCAACTGGTATGCACGCTATAGCGAATACATCAACAAATATATACACATACACACCTACTCCCACCTTCCTCCCCCCTCCTCCCCCTCCCCTTTCCCCCCCTTTCCCTCCACCACACACACACGTACCATCATGCCCCTATCCCCTGTCGTCTGTACAGCAGCCGTCCCCTTCCCCAGCGCACTAGCAGCCCGTTCCACATCCCCCTCCCCCAGCAGCCGCCCTGCCAACGTGCTACATACATACACAATCAACACTCAAGTGCCCCTTCACATCAGCAAGACACGCTTACCATCATGCCCCTATCCCCTGTCGTCTGTACAGCAGCCATCCCCTTCGCCAATGCCCCAGCAGCCCCCTCCACATCTCCCTCCCCCAGCAACCGCCCCGCCATCCCCACCGAGAACACCCCCATCCACCGAGCCAGCTCCGCCGCCGAACCTCCGCCCGAACCTCCGCCCAAACCTCCTCCCGAACCTAACCCCAAGCCTGCAGCCGAGCTGGGACCTGGTTCAGAACCCGAGGCTGAGCGTGGGAGTGTGGCGAGCTGGTGTGTGACTAGATCGATGCCCTTCTGAAGTACGTGCTTGTGAAAGTGGGCGTGGCCAATCAGGTGGTAACACGTGGCGAGCAGAGAGAGGGCCGTGCACTTGAGGAGGATATTCCCAGGAATGGCCTTCAGAAGCACTTGCTGCATTGGAAAAGAGGGGGGGAGACGGGGGAGAGGGCAGAGGGAAAGAGAGTGCACCACGCCACAGGTGGGAAGGAGGGTAAAGGCGGGAAGCTGTGGACTGCACAGCAGCACATCTTTTGACACGTCTCAAAAGACTCCAGCCAGCCAGTACCAGGTTGAGATTGAGACCACTATCAGATTCTACCAGTCCCACTCAACCACTGCGCACCAGTCGCCACCGCATCTCACCGCTCTCTCGAGATGCGCCTTGGCGTGCAGCACGTTGCGGGAGTGTTTCAGCAGCACGTGAGCGAACCAGCACCGCGTGCAAACCTCCACCATACCCTACTGGAACTGTTAATCACCGCACATCACCAAGTCTTACCGCTCTCTCGCCTTGGCGTGCAGCACGTTGCGAGAGTGTTTCAACAGCACGTGAGCCAGCCAGCACCGCGTGCAAACCTCCACCATACCCTACTGGAACTGTTAATCACCGCACATCACCAAGTCTTACCGCTCTCTCGAGATGCGCCTTCGCGTGCAGCACATTGCGGGAGTGTTTCAGTAGCACATGAGCCAGCCAGCAGCGGGTGCGAACCTCCACGAGAGGAAGGAACGGCTGGGTACTCTGACACACGGCTTCCAAGCACTTCACCAACTGCAAGAAGGGTAGGGGAGTGGCCGGGTTGGAGAGGAGGTGCGGGGGTCAACACGTGGGCCAACCAGCACTGCGTGCGAACCTCCACAAGAGGAAGGATCGGCTGGGGGCTCTGACACACGGCTTCTAGACACTTCACTACCTGCAGAGAGAGGGGGGGGGGCCCGAGGGAAGGTGAGATGGTCTGTAACAGGGACGAATCGAAGTCCATTGATTAGAAAATTACCAGGGGCAACCACGTCAACGCTTCACCTGCGGAATCTGATGTGTACTCTCGAAGTGTGACGCCATGAGCCATAACGCGCTGGCCGCCTTGCTGCTGTCGCTCACCGACCCTGCTGTAGTCACACCCCCCCCTGTAGTAACACTTCCCGTTCTGCCCAGACCCGCCGACGGCGATAAGGGTCCGCTGTACGCGTTATTGCGGGGGTTACTGGTCCCGTTATGAGCATGAGCAGCCATGGAGAAACGGTATTTTCCTAGTGAGCTGTTCTTGGTTGCACGTGTCGCTATCCGTTCACCCTCTCTGCCTCTGGTCGCGCCAGCTGGGTGCCTTAGAAACTGCCACGTGTCTTCACTGAACGTGATCGCGTCACCAGGATTTGATTCTAGGAGGCAATCGTAAATGCCGAGCAGGTTTTAAGATGCCGAAGGATTAGCGAAGGAACTAGATTAGCGAGATCAAGACTCTTCGCAAAGATGCTGAGAAAGCCTGGAGGTTAAAGAATTCGCAAGGCGACTGAGGACTAGCGAAAACTATTTCGCAAGGCTAACGAATCTAGCGAACCCTACGATCGCGGAAGCTAACGAACTCGCAAGACGAATGAGGACTGGCAAACATTCTCAATGGCACCACCAAAACTGCAGTCCCGCCAATTTCCAGCAAAAGCGAATCAAGCGATGCATTATAGTGATCAATAGAGTTGTCAGGCTAAGAGCCTCAAGAGCAGAGGCGAGAGACCAGGAGCAGCGCGAGCTGGGTTTGCCTGGGAGAATGCTGCGGTGTTGCCTGGCGGGAGTGTCAGAGCGACCTTGGGAATGTCTATTCTGGGACGGACCGCAAACAAGAAGTGGATTCCGTACTCGTGACGAGAGGATCCGTTCACATCTCAAAGATAAACTGCTTACACCGCAAAGTTTCGTATTTTCGGGACAAACTTTCAAAGACAACCAACGAACCCAACCAACCAGTGAGCTTTCTCACCCTCCAACCCAACTCAACCCCTTGGCTAATCCCCTCTCCCCTTACACTTGCTTGTAGGTGTTGCGCTTCCCCACTTTCTCAGTCACGACTCTGTTTCTGACAGGCAGGTGTTCCACGCCTTTACCGCGCGCATCAGTTTCCGCAGATATTATTTTCGCGCAACCTCTTCCGCGCAATTCCGCCCCGCTCAACGTTATTACGCGTATCCTCCCCTTCCGCGTGCCATCTTTCCCCCGACCATGGAGCTGCGCAGCGGAGCGATTCTCCCCGGCCCCGTGCCCGTCCCCATAACGGCGGCGGAGCAGCACGCGGACGGGTGGTTCCGCGAGGGCGTGCGCCTGGTGTTTGCGCGCTGGACTGCGCTGCAGCTGGCGGTGGAGAATCAGTGGGGCGGCGGAAGGAGCGCGGAGAAGGCGCAACACATGCAGGCGGACCTGGTGCATTTCTGCTACAGCAAGCGCGGTAAGCGGCGAAGGTGGGGGGGATTTTGCGCGATAAGCGGGGGAGATCGGGGGAAGGCGCGACACCTGCAGGCGGACCTGGTCCGCAAGCGCGGGTGGGGCGGGGGAAAAAGGGGAAGGGGGAAGGGAGTATTAAGCCGTTATGGGGAGCAATTATTCGTGGCGGCCAAACCGCCAATCAGTGCCCACGTCGTCTTGCAGAGTGCAGAAACATCAACGCTTTTGGTAACTAGGCTGAAAAACAGGATGTTGGTGAGAGACTTATTAATTTACTGAAAAACGGGTGTTACTGAAAAACGCTTTATGTATTATATCGTTTTTCTCATTACTGTGGTGAGTGTACCAGGAGCGGTGTACGGGGACGAGCTGGAGGAGTGGCTGGACGAGGCGACGGTGAGGGATTTCAACATGGAGGTGGAGGACGGGAGCCTGCGAGAGGTGAGTAAGGAGGATTCATATTCAAGGGAAGAATCGGTAGGTGCAGGTGCAGTACGGTTACTGCAGTGAGAGACTGCAACATGGAAGTGGAGGATGGGAGCCTGCAAGAGGTGAGAGGAGGATTCATATCCAAGGGAAGAATCGGTGGGTGCAGGTGCAGTTCGGTTACTAGCGACGTCAACATGCAGTGAGAGACTTCAACATGGAGGTGGAGGATGGGAGCCTGAGGGAGGTGAGCGGAGGATTTGAAGCTGAGGGGACGACAGGGGGGGTTCACTTGGAGTGCACGTACTAGGGAGTTCAGCATGCAGTAGAGAAGGGACTTCAACACGGAGGTGGAGGATGGGAGCCTCGGAGGGGTGAGTGAGGAGGATTTATATCCAAGTGAAGAAGCGGTGGGTGCAGGTGCAGTGCTGTTACTAGCGACATCAACATGCAGTGAGGGACTTCAACATGAAGGTGGAGGATGGGAGCCTCGGAGGGGTGAGTGAGGGAGTCACCGGAAGGCGGGGAATGATTGGATCCGGGAGGAAAATTGTGGGTAATAGGTGCAGTGCAAATGGGCAATAGTAGGGACAATAGCTTGCAGGCGCTAGGTTATTCCGAGGAGCGTGGTGAGGGAGGAAAATGGGCGTGAAGGGAACGCATGGAGGGAGGGAAGGGAGGGGGGAAGGGGGAAACGGAAATAAGGTGAAAGGTTGAGCAAGCTGAGCATATGCTGGCTGTGCTTTGCTGGTCCCAGCTGCCTCAAATGCATGGTCATGATTGAAGTGGCAAACGTTGTGTTGATCGTTTCCCATCTGTTCTCTGTTCCTCACTCTCATTCTACCCTTTCTTTCCTCTTCCTTCCTCCTGGCAGGTGGCAGATAAGGTAGTGGAGGTGTTTAAGGCATGTCGGGATGGCAGTTTCACACTTGTACAGCAGCTGCAGGCAGAGGAAGCAGCCGCTGCTGCCAAGGGAAGGCGCTCGGCACTGCAGCAGAGCAAAGCGGTGAGTCAGCATTGGCTGGGCGGTGACTCAGCATGGGCTGGACGTTTGTGGGGAGAAAAAAATGAATGCAGACGGTACAGGAATTGATTTTCGAACGTGTGTTGCATTTACTTTTACTTCTTAAACTCATGTTTCTTCCTGCATGCTGGTGTGTGTGCTTGTTTTCACAGGCAAACCGCAACGCAGACAGCGATGACAGTGATTCTGACGTGGAGGAAGTGGGGAACGGGGGAGCCATGGATGAAGATGCGCCAGGAAGGGGTGCTGGGATGGGAGCTTCTTGTTCGGGATCGCGTAGAGCTGCTAAAGAAACTCCTCCGGAGCCGTTGCTGACACAAGAGGAGGTGGCCGACGGTTGGGAAGTGGCTCCGACCAGACGATCTCGCAGGCTTTCAAAAGGGCCAGGGAATGTTTGAAGTCGATTGAGGCGTTATGCATTTTAGTCAGCCCACAATGAGGGCTGTTTTGTATGTTGGAAGAAATATGTTTTTGTGTCCAAGTAGTTTTCCAGGCCTTCAAATGATACCTAAAGTACTTTTTGTTGTCCGTAACTTCACCTATGTAAGGAATTTTCCCGAATTCCTTATCGGGGTTGACTGCTTCGCGTACAACCCGATTTTCGGGGTTCGCACGTTCGGCCGATTTCAACGCTGCCGAGGCTCCTCGCGTCGCCTTCGGCATTTCCATCGCCAAACCTGCACCCAACCTCGCTCGTCCGAGGTTTCCTCCTAGCTAGGCTAGCCCTACATTAGTCTGTGTATTCATTGTATTCTCAGTTGATTCAGCCACAGTCTCGTTATTCGTTTACCTGCGCACTCTCTTTTACAACTCATAACACCTGGTATCAGAGCTACTTTCCTAGTTCACCCCGCTTTTCCGAGGGTAGTTTGGTGGCATAGGGTGTGGCTGGTTTAGTGACTACACGACGGTTGGCTGCAGGGATTGTTAATTCAATCATGCCCGACTCCGATAGTTCGTGTTTTCACTTGCCTGAAGGCCACGGAGACCCTGCCCACCAGATGTAGCGCTAGGCACATGGATCAGGAGGCGGCTAACAGGATGATGGCGCAAGTGGCAGAAATGCAGGTGAGCATGAGGACATTAATGGCGGAAGTGACAACACTGCGAGAGGAAAACGCCGAGCTACGCCAGACGCGAGGTGAAGCGCGTCAGGAGTCGCCTGTGGACGAAGGCGAGGGCAACAGTCAGGCGATGAGCAATCCGCTGGATGCGCTCACACGTGACTTCGAAGAGGAGGACAGGCAGCGAGCGGCAGCAGCGCCAGTTGCAGTAACGACGATCAAGATCAAGCCCGTTAACCCGCCCCCGTTTAACCCTACGGACAAGACGGTTACGGTAAAAGGGTGGCTGTTCGGGGTCGAGGTCTTTTTTACTGCAGCCGGAGTTAATGACGACGCCACGCGTATTAATTACGCGGTTTCGCTTCTTCGAGGTGCAGCGCTTGAGTGGTGGCGCCGAACCTTGGAAACAGGGACGCCGACAAGTGTGACGCATGCGGCAGACGGGACCTCAACAGTGACTAATCAAGTGGCACAATCAATCTTCGGAGTGACCACGATACGCACATGGAAGGAGTGGGGCGCAACCTTACGAGATCGCTTCGAGCACGTATCCGCCTCGGAGCAAGCTCGCATGAAGCTGCGTGCATGGTCGCAGATGGCTTCTGTCCAAGACTACACGGCGTCATTTGTGGGCCTCGCCGACCAAGTTGATGACATGTCGGAAGCTGAGCGGTTAGATAAGTACATCAGCGGCCTCAAATACGAGATACTGTACGAGGTTCGTAGGGGCCGCCCGACGTCATTTCTTGCAGCAGTACGGCTGGCGGAGTCTACAGATGCGCTGATGCAGTACGCGAGAGCAGCTTCTCGGGAGGGAAACCGCTTTCGTGGCCAGACCCATCGGGCCACGATCAACGCCGTCCATACACCCGACCGCCTGTGAGAATGAAAACGAGGAATGATGGCATTGAGCAGCATGAGGAGTACAAGTAGGAAACCCTAAAGTGTTGTACCCCATATTGACTACCCCACTACAACCTAAACAGACTATAGCATATATAGTTCGACACCGCCCTCCTAAGGGACCGTGTTACCGGTGTGGGAAGACGGGTCACTACATGAGAGACTGCCACGAGAAAACGCCGCTGACGGGGAACGACAGGAAGGAGCAAGGAAATGGGAAGAGTCAGTAATTAGCGGGCCCTTTACTGACTGTGCTCCGTCGCCCGAACCCCACCATCCCCACCGAGCCGTGGTTCCGATTCATGCAATCGATCGCACTCGGCGGAATAACGGGGATACACATGTGGATCACCCTGTGCTGGTCGCTGGCAAGGTGTTAAAAAATAACTTGAAAATGTTCGTCGATGGAGGGGCCAGCCATAGCCTCTTCAACTTGGCGAGTGCAAAAAAATGCAAGCTGCAACTTGACAGGTGTCTGCCCGAAATTGACGCCCGCCTCGTGGATGGGACGCCTCTGGCGATAACGGAAGAAACACGGATGGTCAGGATCGAATGTGGCGACGATTTCGGCTTCAGCATGAAGTTTCTCGCGACAACATTGGACGGCTGCGACGTACTGCTGGGACGTGATTGGCTGCGACGGCACAACCCCGTCATCGACTGGACAACGGGATCGTGCAGCATCAACAAGCACGAGGGGCTAATTAAACTACCTGCATGGACGCCTGACTACATCCAAGCCCCGTGCGTCAAAGCTATCTCTATAGCTTGCCACTTCAACAGAGGCGCGCAACTGTTCGTTGTTTGCTTACGGGAGTTGGCGGTTGACACCGACGGAAAGGGCATCGAGAAGCTGTGTGCAGCTGTACCACCTGATTTAGCGCAGCTGATTCGGAGGTACCCTGACATTTTCCCCGACGACCTGCCACCTGGACTGCCACCCGAGAGACCTGAGGGCCACAAAATCCAGCTGGAACCTGGCGCGCAACCGACTGTTCGGACACAGTGGCGGTTGACCCAGCCGGAACTCGAGGAGCTGCGAAGTTAAATTGACGCACTGTTGGAGAAAGGATTCATCCGGGCCAGCACATCTCCCTTCGCAGCACCGATCCTGTTCACCCCGAAGAAGGACGGCGGGCTTCAGATGTGTATCGACTATCGCGCGCTGAACCGGGTCACCATCAAGTCTCGCTACCCAATCCCACGCACCGACGACCTCCTCGACCAACTTCGCGGCGCTCGATATTTCTCGAAGATTGACTTGCGTGGCGGTTACCACCAGATTCGAGTCTTCGCCGACGATTGTCACAAGACTGCGTTTCGCACATGCTACGGGAGTTACGAATTTACTGTGATGCCTTTCTGCCTCACGAACGCGCCTTCGACTTTTCAACTGACCATGAACAGGGTTTTTCGGGATCTTCTAGACCGGTGTGTCATCGTCTACTTGGACGATATCCTCATTTTTAGCAAGACACGGGAGCAACACCTCCGCGACCTGGATGCAGTGTTTAAGGGGCTGCAGGAGAACCGACTCATCACCAAGGGCTCTAAGTGCGAGTTTTTTAAGCAGGAGTTGGAGTTTTTGGGGCACGTTATCTCGCGCAACGGCATTAAAATCGACCTGGCGAAAATCAAGACCATACAGGAGTGGAAGTCTCCGACGACGGAACTCCAGAGTTTTCTCGGATTCGTGAATTACGTCCGACGGTTTATTCCGAATATGGCGGGGATAACCGGCCCGCTGACCGACCTGCTGCACAAGGACAGGAATTTTGTGTGGGGGGAGGAGGCAGAAGCGGCTTTCAAGGAACTCAAGAATTTCCTCGTTTCCCCTCCTATGATGCGCATCGCCGACCCATCGAAGCCGTTCGAAGTTGTAACCGACGCCTCAGATTTCGCCATCGAAGCTGCGCTTCTCATAGACCTTGGGAACAGGTTGCAGCCGATAGCCTACGAATCACGCAAGCTGCAGGCAGCCGAATGCAACTACCCGATCCACGACAAGGAGATGCTCGCCATCATACACGCGTTTAAATTATGGCGATGCTACCTGGTGGGCGCCGACGTCACTGTTCGCACGGACCACAAGTCCCTACAGTACCTGCGAGCCCAACCCATCCTCAACCCACGACAGATTCGGTGGCTGGACTACATGGAGAGCCACTTCACCTACCGCATCACGTACAAAAAAGGGGCTAATAACATCGCCAACGCCCTGACCCGACCGACAGTACAATCCGCTGCAGTACTCATCACCCACTCGAACCCGTTACTTACCGGACTATTTACCCACGGCTACACGACGGACCCATTCTTCACGATGGGAAATCTGTCAGAACATTATAGCTCATGCATATTGTGTAGGCTATAGTGGGGTAGCCCATAAGGGGTACAACCCAATTAGGGTTAGTACTTGTACCCAATTCATTCATAGTTCATTCATTCTCGTTTCTATTCTAACGTGGTATCGAGCAGGCTCCCTCGTGGGAACTGTTCCTAGGGCCCACCAATTCGACATTTTTTTTTCTGCCCGGAGCGCGCTCAGTCCTAGCCCGAGTCGCGCTCCCCCCTTTTTTCTCGCCCCGTCGCGCCGCCCTAGCGGCCCCGTCGCCTGCCTTGCGGCCCTCGCGCCGTCCTTCCTGGCCCCGACCCGCCGCCCGGCGGCCTCGTCGCCTACCCCGCGGCCATCGCGCCGCCCTTACCCGGCCCCGATCCGCCGCCCTGCGGCCTCGTCGCCTACCCAGCGGCCCTCGCGCTGCCTTGCGGCCCTGACGCCGCCCTTTCCGGCCCCGGCGCCTACCTGCGGCCCCGACGCCTACCTGTGCGGCCCCGGCGCCTACCTGCTGGCCCCGCCACCTACCTGCGGCCCCGCCACCTACCAGCGGTCCCGCCACCTACCCGCGGCCCCGCCACCTACCTGTGCGGCCCCGCCACCTACCTGCGGCCCCGCCACCTACCAGCGGCCCCCGCCACCTACCCGCCGCCCCGCCACCTACCTGTGCGGCTCCGCCACCTACCTGCGGCCCCGCCACCTACCAGCGGCCCCGCCACCTACCCACGGCCCCGCCACCTACCTGTGCGGCCCCGCCACCTTCCTGCTGGCCCCGCCACCTACCTGTGGCCCCGCCACCTACCTACGGCCCCGCCACCTACCAGCGGCCCCGCCACCTACCTACGGCCCCGCCACCTACCCGCGGCCCCGCCACCTACTTGTGCGGCCCCGGCGCCTACCTGAGGCCCCGCCACCTACTTGCGGCCCCGCCACCTACCTGCGGCCCCGCCACCTACTAGCGGCCCTGCCACCTACCTGCAGCCCCGCCACCTACCTTTGCAGCCCCGCCGCCTCCTCTCAGCGGCCCCGCCGCCTCCTCCCAGCGGCCCCGGACGCCGCCCTCTCAACGGCCCCACCGAGCCGCCGAGCAGCCGAG